CTGGGCGACGGAGTGAAACTCCAACTCAAAAAAAAAAAAATACATTTTATATGCACACACACACAAAATATACATATGTGTGTGTATATATGTGTGTGTGTGTGTGTGTGTGTGTGTGTGTGTGTGTGTGTGTATCCTACCAAGGTACCCTCCCCACAGTTTAAGGAACAGAACTTTACCAAAACATTCTCTCTCTCTTTTTTTTTTTTTAAGTCAGAGTCTCACTGATTCCCAGAGTCTCCTGGATTCCCAGGAACGTGCAGTGGCACGTTCCTGGCCACCACAGCCTCAACCTGCTGGGCTCAGGCGATCCTTCTGCCTCAGATTTCCAAGTAGCTGGAACTCCAGGCACACACCACCATGCCTGGCTGATTTTTTAATTTATTGTAGAGATGAGGTCTCACCAATTTGCCCACGCTCGTCTCGAGCCCCTGGACTCAGGCAATCCTCTCGACTCAGCCTCCCCAAGTGCTGGGATTACAAGCTTGAGCCACCATGCCCGGCCTCTACTCATTATTTAAGAGTCAGTTCAATTAGTACCATTTGAGATCCACTAAGAGATTACCTATGATTGTTTTGATGATCAGAAAATGTTTTTATTTTATATAATTTATTTATTGAGATACAGTCTTGCTCTGTTGCCCAGGCTGGAGTGCAGTGGTGTGATCATGGCTCATGCATCTACCTCCGGGGCTCAATTGATCATCCCACTTCAGCCTCCCAAGTAGCTGGAACTACACGCATGTGACACCACACCTGGCTAATTTATATTGATTTATTTATTTTTTGTAGAGTCTCACTCTGTTGCCCAGGCTGCTCTTAAAATCCTGGGCATAAGCAATCCTCCTATCTCAGCCTCCCAAAGTGCTGGGATTACAGGCGTGAGCCACCATGACCGGCTTAAGAATGTTTTAACATACTATTTCTTCTCACTTTTCTGTAATAAGCATGTATCACTTCTGTAATGAAAAAATATTAACTTTATTTTGGAGGAAATAAAAACTCATTTCCTCTGGGAGACCTTCCCAGACCATCATCTTGATGGAATTAATCTTTTTTTCTTTCTTTTTTTTTTTTTTTTTTTTTTTTGAGTTGGAGTCTCACTCTGTCACCCAGACTGGAGTGCAGTGGCCGCTCCCGGCCACCGCAGCCTCGACCTGCTGGGCTCCGGCGATCCTTCCGCCTCAGCTTTCCAAGTAGCTGGAACTACAGGTGCGTGCCACCATGCCTGGCTAGTTTTTGATTTATTGTAGAAATGAGGTCTCGCCAAGTTGCCCAGGCGGGTCTCGAACCCGCGGGCTCAGGCAATTCACTCACGTCAGCCTCCCAAGGCGCGGGATTACAGACTGAGCCACCGAACCGGCTTCTTTTTCTCTTTCTTTGCTCCTGAGCTCTACTACACACGGCTCTGTGATATTTGCTCTCTCGTCCATCTATCCCCTGGACTGCTCAACACTCTGGCAGGATGGGGCTCACTCGTGATTCATGTCCATGTCCCCTGTGCCTGGCACAGCTCTACTGCAGAAACCATCTATAAAAGCTGAATGGAAGAAGAACAGAAAGAAGGAATGACCGACATCCAGGCCCTGCCACTTTGACAGTGTATTGTGAGAAGTGATGGAAAGCTCAGTTGCAGAACAATGCGTCCTCTCTGTGGGCAGCGCGTGGGGAGTGGGGAGGGCTCCACTAGATAAACTGATTGTGGCGAGAGGCTGGGCAGATGTGCAGACCAAGCAGCGGAATTCATTTCCCCCTGGATATTAAAGATGTTATCTGGCAGGCATGTCTGCCAGGGCAATCAGCACTGGGTGGGCAGGACGGGAAGGAGCTCTTTATCTCATGCTACATCCGCAGACAAGTTTTGCAAATGCAATAAAGGCCTGGCAGCCTGACCTATGTGCTACCCTCCTGTCTCCTTCCCACCCCCTCCATGGCCCAGCCTGAGAGAGGGGAGCAGAGCAGACCCCAAACTCCTATCCTCTGCTCAGAACACTTGCCTCATCTATCCAGTTCTTCCAAGAGAGATGACCGGTCAAATGCCTTGAGATGGTGGCCTTCCTCCTTTGTGTATAATGACTAAGGTTCTTAGTGCTTTAAAAAATAGTTGTTGCTGTCTTTTGAGCCAGAGTCTCACTCTGTCACCCAGCCTGGAGTGCAATGGCATGATCATGACCTACTGCAGCCTCGACCTCCTGGTCTCAGATGATCCTTCCACCTCAGCCTCCCGAGTGGCTGGGAAATACAGGCAAGTGCTGCCACATCTGGCTAATTTTTTAATTTTATAGAGACAAAGTCTCACCATGTTGCATGGTGTGATCACAAACTCCTGACCTCAAGCAATCCTCCTACCTTGGCCTCCCAAAGCACTAGGATTAAAGGCATGAGCTACCACACGTGACCAAATAAGAACAATTTTTTAAAATAAGAACTATTGGCCAGGCTCTGTGGCTCAGCCTGTAATCCCAGCACTTGGGAGGTTGAGGCGAGTGGACTGCCCAAGCCCATGGGTTCGAGATCAATCCAGGCAACTTGGCGAGACCTCTTCTCTACAGTAAATCAAAAATTAGGCGGGTGTGGTAGCATGCACCAGTAGTTCCGGCTACTTGGAAGGCTGAGGCAGAAGGATCGCCTGAGCCCAGTGGGGTCAATGCTGGGGTGGCCGTAAGAGTGCCACTGCACTCCAGCCTGGGTGACGGAGTGAGACTCCAGCTAAAAAAAAATAAAAATAAAATAATAATAAAAAAATAAAACAAGAACTATTTTTGCCTGGTTTCAGTGGCTCACACCTGTAATCCCAACACTTTGGGAGGCCAAGGCAGGAAAATTGCTTGAACCCAGGAGTTTGCGACCAGCCTGGACATCATAGCAAGATCCTGTCTCTACAAAACATTTTTTTTTTTTTTTTGAATTGGAGTCTCACTCTGTCA